CAATATGAATACCTCGTACGCATGACGGGATTGCGGTTTCCCCTGAGAGCAAGTACCATGTACCGAGTACTTCGTACGAGTCAGGTCTTTTCAGGGGTAATTCCGGCACGTGACACTCCATGCATGTGCTGATGACGTGCATGAACTTTTTGCTGAAACTCGGCTCTTCCTAGGCCGGCGATATGATTTATCTGCTCGGAAGAAGCGCGAGTTCTCGCGACGGCAACTCTCGCTTGTTCGTCGAAAGATAGGGAGTACTCGGTACGAGTATAGCCATGCACTATTAGATGAGACTACCTCGTACACTACTGGGCTCCTCGTACACTACTGGGTAGACGCAGCAGCCGAATCCGATTTACTACTTTCTACAAGAGACGCTAGACATGATCTCGCAAGTCTGCCCCACGCCATCTCTAGTGCGTGTCCTGACTCGACGTCCGGGAGGTTGCGAGTCAGGACCTAACATGAGGAAATTCTGGAACAATTGATGTTTTGACGAACTGATGGATCTCGTCCGTAGGATCAACCCGGTCCCCAAGGTTCCACGATGTTAAAGTCAGCCACCATGTAAATCAGAGAGGTGGTGACAACTACTATGTCCATGATGATACATGGAAGATCTCGTCCACCGTCTGTTTGAAGAACCTACCTGGTGTCGGGAAGGAAGCAGTGTCGAGTACGACTTCAGGGGGTCGGACAGACGCTCGCCCCGCACAGCGAGAAGTTTGTTGCTTCAATAGGGTCGCTTCTCGGGGGAGACTATTCCGTACTCCGCGAGGTCCGTACGGATGTTGGTGTCAGGGTCTGTGCGGATATGACAGGCTTTGTGGTTGCGATTGGAGATATCCGAGAATAGATAATCAGGGGAAGGGGTTGGAAGTGAAGGGCGAATTGCTTGTGCAAAGGCAAACCTGTAATCTCGTCATTATGTCCGTGTCGAGGAACATGTCTGTCTTGGGTTTTTGGTTCTGTCCTCTCTGTCTCGGACTTTTGTCCGCCGGTCGCCGGAGATGAGTGTATAGAAATTATTTGCGGTACCTGTTAGCAAAAGCCCAGACATCACGTGATCCACCCCGAGGCTGTCCAAGCTCCCCAAGTTCGCTCCCTCGCTCGCTCGCTCCCCCGCAGTCCCCTTTACCCGTGTGAAAGCATGTAGGCACGTAGGTCACTCTGCCGGCCCTGTACCCGCAACTTATCACCAATATTGCAAATCGCCTGTATTCTCAGTTCTGTGACATGTCAGACTACTTCTATGAGCATGAGCGCGTCCTTGATTGGCTCGAATTGGTTGAGCCTCGGGCAACGACTTCGCATCCGGTAGCAGATGCTGATATGATCACATCGGTGGCCAGTCTTCTTCGCAGCAATAACATCGGCGACGACGCCGGGAGCGCCATGACGGCATTCCAGAGCGTAAGCTCCAGCTCCATCCATAGGCAGCGTGAGTCCGCACCGAACACCGTGAGCATCTCCTTCGTACAGAAAGACACCATGTTCGCTCGACAATAGGAATTCGAGGAGTTCGTCCCCTGTTTCGAGGAGCTCTGTCAAGCGGTTAAGAAAGTGCATCGTCAAGTCCCACAGGACCTCGAAGTGAGCTTCCTCTGCATCGGGACAAACAGTTGCCTACTTACTAGACCAGGGTTTCCTCCGCTCCCACCTGAACCCGTTCGGGCCTAACATCCTTCCTCAATTTTCGAAAGATGTCGAGTTCCGAATCTTTGCTGATCTCGCCCCGGACGTCGAGCAGTTGACGAACGAGATCAAATTGTGCAAGAGGAAGAGAGTGACTGAGGACGAGTGGTCGGACAGATTGGTCTATCCAATGCTTCGCCTGGCGCAGAAGAGGTTGAGAACTGATCGGGAGGTCGAAATTGCCACAGTGTCGGTCTCTCTTCTTCTCCCTGGCGATCCCTATACTCACTGAGACACAGGAAAAATATTGGCATTTCTCCGCCGTCACTTCTTCCCGTCTCCGGAGGCATCCAGGCGCCGCACGAACGGGTGGACTACTCGCTGTGTTTCCAGCTCGATAATATCCGCAGACTTCAACGTGTTTTCACCAACATGCCCGGTGGCTCCTTGAATCAGTGTCAACATCCAAGACTCTGGAATCACGTCCTGTTCTCCCATGTGAGAGTGAAGGGGCTAGCCGCCGATGGTCCAGGTGATGAACGATTGGGGATCTGGACTGCAGCCGGCATCAAGAGGATACAAGAGATGCAAAAGTGGAACCCATGGCTACGAGACAAGAGCATCGCTACTCAGCCGCTGTGGCTCTGGAAGGGGGATAACCTGACACTATATGCCGCATTGATGAGCGAGCCCGGCGAGCCTGAAGAGCTGCTCATCTATGAATTAGCCGAGTGGCATCTGGAGGAGCCCGCCCAGCTGGTCACGGCTATTATCTGCCTGTCTAGGGTCATGGAGTGGTCATTGACCAAGTATCTCCCCTGGTTCAAGAAGCTGATCCGTTACGAGAATTGAGGATGAAAATGTACGAACAACTCGTCTCGGGCATATTGGGGTCGACTGAGCGGCACATGGTTCTTATTCTTAGCGCCTTCAAAGGCCACCTACCTGGCCAGAGAATTTCGCATATCATAGTTTCCGCGCTGCAGAACGCACTACAGGTCTGCGTTCGTCGATCGACTGAACGAGGCTTGAAAACGAAAGTCTGGCTGGCAGGATCCGGAATTGAAGCCGACCTCCCTTGTACAGCAAGTGATGGGGAAGTCCACATCTGAATCTTCGAGGAACAGCAAGCGGTGAGCAGCGAAGAGCCCTACGGTATCTTTAATCTTCTGTTGACCGATACCATCCCATCAACTTGGTAACTTGTCTCGCTGAAAATGCCTTCACAGCGAGACGGGGTGCACACCCACGTGACACCGTCCCAGATTTGATTCGCCTGCAGCTTCCACCTCCAGTTCGTCTCTACTGGACAGCGACCGGTTTGCCCTGCGCCTGCACTCAGCGGGGAGTCCGTTCCGCGAACAGGGCAACCAGTCAGGAGTTGCCAGCGTCGAGCCACCCTGGAAAAAACACCCCGTCGGGCGCGGCTGAGACAGGAATGGGCATTGGCATGCAAGGTACTCTATCCATTTATTTGTGGTGACGTCGAAGACACCCGACCAACACGAGAAAGTAGTTTGACACTCCCACCGAACCGGCAGATCAGGCTGCAAAGTTCAGCAGCGCATTGCGCCCATGAAACTATCGTCCCCGTATCTTCGGACGCAGAACTTCGAGTCCGAAAGCCACCGAGCGAACGAGGCTGGACAGCAAACATGCCTCTATTTTTCCGGCCGCGCCCATGGGATGCTGTGTTTGCTCCCTCCCCGACCTAGGCGGCCAGCACCCAGCCTGCATCCATGGACACGGCAGCCTGCATGCAGCCTGCGCGTGGTATGTGTATGCCGCACGTTCCTCAGCCACTCGCTCAACAAATTCTGGCGAGAGAGGCTTGACTGTTCAGCGGGCTTTGACGCCCAAAGTTTCACTTTGACCAGACGCTTTGGGATATGCCATTCCCTTTTCATCAGCGATTTGCGGTATGTTATGCCTTGCAGAGGCCAGGTCACGGTAAGCCACGACAACGTGCTCTCGTATTACGTCTACATTAAATAGTCATGCCATGGGTTGGGAGTTGCTTGCAGTTCTTTCAAAACTCCACCATCACATCACTCTCAGTCCCGCAATTTACCTTTCGGTGCCGTCGAACTCGATACAATCGTCACGGATCCCTCCTCCACGCCCACCCCGACAAAATACAAAGTACGATACTCGCACTTTGGGCATGTCGAACAACGGACACCACGCCGGGAACGCCGATGCTCCAAACGGGCATGCGAGTGTTGACGTCACATCCTCGACGGCAAGAAGTCACGATACGACGCGAGAATCACGATTCCCTCCCGACGACGGCAGCCGGTCTCGGGACCAGCCGCCACACTGGGTGTACCGACTGATGGCCATGCGTCTGGAGCAGGACCGATCGTCGTGGGGTCAATGCTGCAAGTGCGAGAACAGCGGAGAAATCATGAGCTGGCCACGATGCAAACGCTGCCGTCACCATTGCTGTCCGTCGTGCGACTATGAGTTGGACCGCACGGCGGTTGTCGACCCGGACACACAGACTGGCGGAGGTGCAACGGCTTCGGCCAGGATCGACAAGATGAACGAATTGTCCGGGGAGATGTGTTTGGAGCTGGAAGCCCTGGAGGCTGTCGAGACTTTGACGCCCCAACAATCGCGCGGCGTGGCAAGAGGGTGGGAGATCATCCGGTCGTTCAATCAGTGGCTAGAAGAAATGGAGGATGGTGGGAATGAAAATGCGAGACTGGCCTAGACGACCTGAATAAAACCGGTGGGTTTTCTCTCAGCCTTGTCGTGAATTTGTGTGAGTGAGTGAGTGTGTGTGTGTCTCGACGAGTGAGAACGCGGTAGAGGTTCTATGGTGGTGCGGACTGCCACATCTTTCGGACTTTCTGTGGTGCGATCAAGCGAACACGCAGGAATCAGGGGAGTTTTGTGTACGTATAATCACGGAGTACGTGGGGCGTCGACTGTTTTCCCTACAGGGTGGGAGACGTGTTCAGTTTGTTAATCCCGAGCCCACAATGGCAAGACCAGGCCGGTGGGTAGAATCCCGAACACATCTCAGGCGTGTTTCGTGTTTTCCGTTCGTGTTCGAGATCGAGCTTGGGCGACAAACAAGAGAAGTGACGACTGGCCAGGCAGCGAGCCAGCAAAGAGACTCATTTCTAACCGGTGTACGGACTCGGACTCTCCAACCAGCCAAACACATGAAGGGACATGTGGGTCGGGAATGTACTCGTACTGCAGTGGTTCCTCCCAGACGACTGGCTCTCAAAGCTGCTGAGAACAGCGTTTCCTAAAACTCCGTATATCTGCGTGGGTAGCCCAAAAAATAATACCCTATCGCACAACCGCGGGGAAGCAAGAGGCAACAAAAAAACACATGAAGCACAATTTTCAGGATCCGACGTGGTTCGAACACGTGACCTAGAGATAATCGGCGCGGAACTGCAATCTCTCGCTCTACCTGAAGTTCTGAGTTAGCGAGGGAGTATAACTACAAATCATGCAAGAGGAGACAATCTTACCACTGAGCTACGAATCCAACGTTGGCGGAATCTCACCGTCAAATTTTAGGCAAAATTGTGGCGTCACAAAACATATAAGAAAAATAAAGAATCCGGATATATGACGGACGCTCTTGGCCGGCTTGTGTATCTACGTAATTGGTCGAGGACTTTCGACCATGCTCCTTTTATTAAACTGCACGCCACCCCCGATCGCGCTCTTTCGTGAGTCTTCGCATGAGAAATATCCATCTGCCGCATTCCCAAAATAAAGTAATGACTACGCCTACACCTACATATATTATACATCCACATCCTCCGTAGGATATTTCACCGACAGGCGCTGAGGAGAGAAAAGGACCAGACAGACCACCTGGACGCGGGGGTCAAAAGGTCTCACCCCCCCCCCCCCCCGGGTAATATCGATGTTTCTCTTCGTTGATCCCCCTCAAATCATCACATCGTTGGGGGGCGGAAAGACTTTTGGCGCGCTGATGTCGTACAGTACCTTATGTAGACAGGAAAGCCAAGCCAAGCAAAGCAAAGCCAGTCCTCCCACTTTGGTAATACCATCTCATTCGACCAGACAGGGGAACTCGGCATTGGGGAACGAGAGCGCGTAAGGCTACATACAGTAGTGTAGTAGTAGTTGAGACGTTTTGCGCATTTCTTCTGGACTAATATGTATCGGCGAGGAGCTCTGCCAAGCCCAATCTGGAAACCGAATTTTTTGGCTTTCTTTCTGGCGACCGATAGGATAGCCCTTATGTATAACGGGACGGGGGGCAAAGTATGATTCAAAAAGCGAGGCAGATATTGGGAGACCTCTCACCATTGTTGACCAAGACGGGGGGCAAAGTATGATTCAAAAAGCGAGGCAGATATTGGGAG